AAGTGGAGCACCTTTTCATGTGTTCGTACCATTTGGATGTCCAATTTTGCAATTTCTTTTTCAGTTCTTTACTATGTTTTTCTATTAGATAGTATACCTTATTGACTTGAAGGTTATCTTTATATATTATAGATCTAATAACTTTGTTGAATATTTGTTTGTACATAGCTTCTCCCCCTCCTGCTGTCTTCATGGTGCATTTAAACAAAAAGACATTTTAATTTTATTGTAGTTCACCATATCCATTCGGGCTCTGTAGTGAATGCAGGTTTTTTTGCTGGGGAGGAGGGGGCTGCAGTAACCAAGGGTTGAACTCAAGGGCACTTGACCACTGAGCCCTATCCCCAGCCCTATTTTGTATTTTATTTGGAGACAGGGTCTCACTGAGTTGCTTAGTGCCTTTTGCTGAGGCCGGCTTTGATCCTCCTTGCCTCAGCCTCCTGAGCCACTGGCATTACAGGCATGTGTCACTGTGCCCAGCTTATAGTGAATACTTTATGTGCTAAAGACTCCTTTGCCTGCTCCAAGATGACAAACTCATTTGATGTTTTTCTCTAAAGTCTGTTGTTTGATCTTTCATCTTTAGATTCGTAGTCCATTGACTATTTATTTTTGTGTGTGGTGTGAGGTGGGGATCAATATCAACTTTGCTTTCTAAAGAGACATTGATTGACCCAGAACTATATTAAAAAGACCATTTTCCCACCACTGTGCTGAAGTGAACCCGTGAATGGTTTAAGAGAACATGCGATTGATACAGTCGCTCTCTGGCTTGTCCCCTCCCAGAGCCTCATTCTCACTTTGCTGGGTCTGACTGAGCCTGTCACCTCCAACATCCTTTCCAGCTATCCACTCCTGCTCACCTCACTGCAGCCTCCTGTTGTTTCTCCAAATCAAACACAAAAATGACCACGTGTCTTAACTAAGCAGGAGTTTAATTTTCTCCTACAATAGGAGATCTGGAAGAAGGTAGTTCAGCAGCACTAGGTTGGTGGGATTCTCAGGATTGTGCCTTTGGTTGCAAGGTGGCTGCTGCAGCTGCAGCCATCACACCTTGAATTTAGAGCCAGAGGCAGGAGGAAAAAAAAGCAATGCCTGTTCCTTCCCTAGACATCTCAGGAGTCTTACTGAGATCTCATTGATCAGACAATAGTCAGGGGCTACCCAAGCTGCCAGAGAGACTAGGAAAGTGTTGGCCAGGGACATTGACACCCAGAACCCAACTGGAGTAAGGAGAGGTGGAGTGAGTTGGTGGGGAGCCACAGAATCCGCATGTGGGGTCCTTGGATATCAGCAGATGACTGACCTGGATGAGGCTGAGGTTTGGGAGGTGGAGCTCTACTGAGAGGGAGGAGGGATGGGTGTGTGGGGACTAATTGAATCATGATGTGAGGTCATTAGAGTAATGTTTGTTCTATGACCCTGGCTTCCCGGGAGCTGAGTGTGGAGACTGAGGCCACAGGACTCCCAACGTGGGCATCTATGTGTATGTGTCGGGGGTTCTTGATGGCAGAATCCCAGAAGTGGCTTGAGATGTCATAAAGGGTACATATTTGAGATGTTAATAAATACTGCTCATTTCCCTCCAAAATGGCTACACTGATTTGTACCCACACCCCAGGAAATAAAAAGGCTCGTCCCAAACATACCTTAAGCAATTCTGATAGTTGTCACTCTGGTCAGTGAAAATACGCGTTTTTTGAATTTTAATCCTTTCCTTTCTCCATTTCTTCCTTTTGAGGAGGTTGAGCATCTTTTTTGGTGATCTTTTACTATTAATTTCATCTTCCGTGAACTGCCTGTTCTTTTCCTTTCTAAGTTCTTTGCTGCTGCTGTTCATTCGTTTGGTTTTTTGGTATTGAGGGTTGAACCCAGGTGAGCTTTATCACAGAGCCACATCCCCAGCCTTTTTAAAATTTTTTATTTTGAGACAGGAGCACTCTAAGTTGCTCAGGACCTTGCTAAGTTGCTGAGGCTGCCTTTGAAATTGCGATCCTCCTGCCTCAGCCTCCTGAGCCACTGAGGTCATAGGTGTGTGCCACCACACCCAGTTCTTTTGGAAATTCTTATTGATGCTTGGGAGCTATTCATATATTGTGGCTTTTTTCACCTTAAAGTACTTTGGTGTATACATTGCCAATATTTACTCTGAGGTTTTTTTTTTAAATATCCTTTAACTCTGATTTTTGGGGGGCGGGGGGTGGGTACTGGGGATTGAACTCAGGAGCACTCAACCACTGAGCCACATCCCCAGCCCTATTTGTATTTCATTTAGAGACAGGGTCTCACTGAGTTGCTTAGCACCTTGCTTTTGCTGAGGTGGCTGGCTTTGAACTCAAAATTCTCAGCCTTTTGAGCCACTGGGATTACAGGCATGTGCCACCATGATTTTTTATTTTAAATCATCATGTTGCCTGGACATGGTGGCACATACTTCTAATCTGAGCAACTTAGGAGGCTGAGGAAGGAGGGCTGCAAGTTCAAGGTCAACCTGGGCAATTTAGCAAGACCTTATCTCAAAGGGAAAAAAAAAATTTCCAAGGGTTAGGGATGTAACTTAGTCATGGAGTGTTCCTGGGCCCAATCCTCAGTACTGAAAAAGAAAAAAAAGTTGAACTGTGTGGTCACATCTATCCTTGTTTTTCTGTGGCCTCTAAAATTTCAGTCATGCTTAAAATAACCTTTCCCACATAAGGATTTTATCTATGTAAAATTGCACATTCATAGTTTAGTACAGAGCCCAAAGAATAAAATACATAGTTAGAGTTAATGAATAAATTTTTGCAAATATCACACTGTACAAGATGCTTTGTAACCGGTTTCTTTGCTCTTACTGGACACCAAATGTCTTTTTTTGTGTCGTTAAGTGTGTGTGAAACATCATTAGGTTTCATTTTAGCAGCAGCACTTTTAATGGCTGTTTAATATTTCATTTTTATAGTAGTGTGCTAATCTTTTTCCTACTGTCTTGTCAGCTGTTTATATATTGAAAATATTGACCACTATGGTGAATACATTAAAAATGTGCTTTCCTTTTAAGTTTTTGTTTTGCTGTGCTTTGTGGTGTTATTTTCATTCAGAAACTTTAAACTGATTTTAAGCATTTTAAACTCACAATCTCTTCCTTCCTCTAATATGACTCTGGTGGGGCTCCAGGTGGGGCTTCTGGGGCCAGCATGTTGGTGACTGTCTCTGTACACCCTGTCCCTGCCAGGCCTTGGAGACCCGGGCCAGCCCTGGCCACACCCCAGGCTGTGTCACCTTTGTCCTGAACGACCTCAGTATGGCCTTCACTGGAGATGCCCTGCTGATCCGTGGATGTGGGCGGACAGACTTCCAGCAAGGTGACCCGCTCCTTATCCAGCGCAAGATTCAAATATGGTTATATATTTGCCAGGGTTTTACAAGAATGAATGAGTGGACCTTAGATTTTTAGGGGGCCAGTTTTACATTCCAGGGGTGCATTAGTTATCTATTGCTGTGAAACAAATTACTGCAAAATGTAACAATGATTAGACAGGCATAGTAGCACATTTCTATAATCTTAGCAACTCTGAAGGCTGAGACAGGAGGATTCCAAGTTCAAGGTCAGCCTTGGCAATTTAGCATGACCCTGTCTCAAAAAATTTTTTAAATTTTTAATAAAAGCTGGAGATATAACACAGTGGAAGAGTACCCCTGGGTTCAATCCCCAGTACAAAATAATAATAATAATAATAATAATAATAATAATAATAATAATAATAGTATTAACATTCACTGTCCCACAAAGTTTCTGAGAGTCAAGAATCCAGGAGGAGTTTAGGGTGTGGGCTGTACTCATCAGAAGGCTGGATGGGTCTGGGGACCCACTTCTGGGGTGGCTTCCTCCCATGGCTGCCAGTTCCCGTGCTTGTTGGCAGAGGCCTCCCTTCCTCACCTGGTGGACTGCTCCAGAGGGCTGCATGAGTATCCTCCCCGAAAAAAAATGACCAGAGAGAAAGAGAAGCCTTAATTTTTTCTTTGACCTTGCCTCAGAAGTTATACTCTGTCATTTTTGCAATATCCTATTTATTAGGAGCAAAATATATAATCCAGACCCTTAGATCAAGGGGAGGGAAATGAAGTGTCACGTTTCAATAAGAAGATTCAAGAATTTATGAAGGTGTTGGAAAACCACATCAAGGGCCTTAGCTGCTGGTGGGTGTGGTGGGGTGGAGTTGTGCTCAGGAGATCAGCGGCTCAGAGGCCACTAGGAGGTTGTTTGGTCCCTGGTTCAGCTGTAAGAAGGTTCTGCAGCTTCGGGGTGTAGCTGCAGAGGATGATTTGATTCGGGATTTTCCTGTGGGAAGAGAGTTTAGTTTTGGATCTCAGGATCTGGCTGCCCGTTGAGCATGTGCACGAATGTGGCTTGACACTAGATTGGAGGAGTAGGCTGTCTTGTGGGCAGAGGCAAGACCACGTGAGAGAAATGGCGGCAGCTGTCACACACTGGCAGCGGGAAGCCAGGTCCCGGCCCCCTCTCCCTCTCTATGTCTTCATTTCAGTCTGTGGCCATCTCTCTCGGACTACTAATTTGCTTCTTATCCATTCCCAACACAACATAAAATGGGAGAATTTTGGTTGAAATGGAAGTTAAAAGAATGTTCCAGAGAGGTTTGCCTCTATCCCAGTCGAGGCCCAGCTTCCTGTTGGAACCACTGTTCCATATGCTGCTTGGCCTCATGTCTTTGGTTTATTACCTTCTAGTCCAACTTCTTTGCCCAGAATCCTTCCTCAGTGTCCCCAGAGTAAGGACACATTTCCTGGGGGGCTTCAGAATCTCTCTTCCCACCCTTACAATCCCACATTATAAAGGCAAATTTCTCACCATTCATTTTTCTTCACGTATGTCCTTCCCTCTGCCTCTACCTAGACAAAGGGGTTTGGGCAGGAGATGAGGGAGATGGCTTAGCTACTCTGATTATCCTCCCACCCTTTTCCTGAGGGAAGGTATTTTAGGGCTTCTCCTGTCCTGCTCACCCACTGACCTCTGACCTTTCCTTCCCCAGGCTGTGCTAAGACCTTGTACCACTCAGTCCACAAAAAGATCTTCACACTTCCAGGCAACTGTCTGGTCTACCCTGCTCATGATTACCATGGTGAGGGCCCGCTGGAGGGGGTGGGGGCTTACCTAACTTTTGAGGGGATAGCCAGCTTCTGTATTCTTTGTATGGCACAGAGACTACACACATTCCAGAAATTCCTCTGGCCAAAAAAGATTAAGTGCTTGGGTGTGCCGGGCGTGGATATAGAAACTGGACAACTTCTAGAATTCTGCAGGGCGTGGGTTTTCCTGGGACTTCCTTGTGGAGTGCAGAGGACTGTTGGGAAACTACATTTCCCATAATGCGCATTGGGAGGGAAAGCAATCTCAGATTTGGGAAGAGCCCATTAGTGCCTGGCTAGAGAGGCACCCAAAGACCTCCTGGGAATTGTAGTTCCGAGCTGCCCAAGGTGCTGGACCAGTTGACTTTCCTCTCCCTACCCCCGACCTTGGTCACTAGGACACACAGTGTCCACCGTGGAGGAGGAGCGGACTCTGAACCCTCGGCTCACTCTCAGTTGCGAGGAGTTTGTTAAGGTCATGGACAATCTGAACTTGCCTAAACCACAGCAGATAGGTGAGCACCCGGGGTCCTGGCAGGGTCCTGGTGGGAGGAGGACTGGGGTGTGGACTCCTGGGTCTGAGGGAGGAGGGGTAGGGCCAGAACTCTAGCTCCCTAAAGAAGGGCGCAGTGTACCTGGGTCCTTGGAGGGACATGGGCTTCTGCCTGGCCCCTTGGTTTCTATCCAGTTTCTTTTCAGACATTGCTGTTCCAGCCAACATGCGCTGCGGGGTCCAGGCGCCACCTTCCTAACCTGTTTCTGTCAGGTGCTTATGTCCATCAAGAATGCACTCGGTGGAGCGAGGGGAGAGGGGTCACCACTAGACCTCTGTCCCCTCCCATCCTACCCCCATCAGCCCCTCAAACTTCTTAAATAAAAAGTATTTTTTTTCCTTTCGTCATGAATCTGACTTCTGCCTCTTTTCTGGGGGAACCAGCTGGGTTTTGAGTGGATGTGCTTGGAGTTGGTTCTAGTCCCTTGGAAAGGCTTCGGGAGCTGGGCACGATGCAGGTCCCGGGAGATTTCTAACTCCCAAGATTAGAAGCCAACATATCTGGCAGGTGCTCTCATGGCCTTGGATCAGAACACGGTTTGGTCCTGAGTCCTAGAGTTAGGTACTTTCCCTCTACAGCCCTCAATTGCCTGATCTGTAAAATGGAAATAATAATAATAATAGGGTGTCATGGAGATCTGATAAATCCATAAATATGAGTGCTTGGCACACTGCCCGAATGGCCAACTCCCTAGGAGTGCTATTATTGTTGCTATCATTTGGAATGATCTCTTAGATGCTTCCTGACTTGGAGTGACAATTTACATAATGGTTAAGAACATGGGTGTTGAAAGGATGAAGCTGATGTGTAGACCTTGGATGCATTTCTCTCCCCCCAGCCTCAGTTTCCCCTCAGTATATAATGGAAATAGTAATCCCTCCTTTGAGCTGGGCTGCTTTGAGGGTGAAACCAAATTAGCGTGTGTAAAGTGTTCAGCACAGCTCTTGACATCTAATAACCTGGTTTCATGTACCAATTATTTTCTGTTTTTGCCCAGAGAGGAAAAGGTCTGGCTGAGACCTTTAACCTCTGTCCTCCGCCCCATAGCAAAGTGTGTGTGGGGCGGGGGCACACTTCCCTGTATTTCTGGGCGGGTATCTGACTCAAAGTACCCCTCTCCCCTTGTCCAGCTCCCTAAACCGGTTGGGGCCCTTCGAAAGGGCTCATTAGAGGGGAGAGTCTCCATCTTCATTCCTATCTCCCTTTGAGAACTCTCAGAATGTGGGCAGAAGGGAGGCTGGTATACAAAGGTGGCCAGGCAGCCCTTCAGGGGACAGGAATGGGAGCGCTGGAGGCGGAGTGGGAGGTCGCGATGCTGGGTTCTCCGAGGGTGGGGCCCGGAAGGCCTGATGCCGCGGGCGGGGCGAGCTGGTCGCTCCCTCCTCTCTCCAGAGCTGTTGGACCTGTTGTCCCCCCCTCCACTTCCGGGCTGCTGGGGAGGGGGACGGGCGGCCTCTCCTCCTCTTCGCAGCCACCTGTCTCTGTGGCAGAGGCTGCAGTGCCGGGAGCGCGGAGCGGAGCGAGCTGGTGAGGGGCCGGGGCTGCGGGAAGGAGGGGACTCAGCTCGCGGGGCCGCGCGGGAGGCGGGAGCCGGAGTTGGGGAGCCTACTCCTGGGAGAAAAGGAGGGCTTGGGCTCCAGCCTCGTCCCGAGGGAAGAGCGGGAGCCCGGTCTCTGAATCCCTGGGTGACGCGACAAGGGTGCTGGTCCCTTACACAGTGGGGTCGGGAGGAAGGGGCGTTGAGTACCAAGGGAGGAGAAGGGGTCGCGTTAAAGTGGCCCAAGAGATTGTCGAGGGCCACTGGGCAAGCCCAAGGCCCGACACCTGGGTGGCTGGAGGCTCTGGGTCGCAGAGTCCGGCGGGGGGCGTGCCAGGACCCCGACTCAAATCCCGGCCCCGCCTACAGCGGGGTGCTGCCTCCGGAGCCCTCGAACCTCGTCCCACTTCTTCCCCGGCCCCTGGAAGCTCAGACCACGCCCTCGGAGTGCTCAGGGCCGTCCTTTGAACTCCCAGGCCCAGCCTCCCCAGCACTCCGGAGGCCGGCCGTCGGGTGCGGCGCCCGGGACCCTAGGCCACGCCCCACGCTTCCAGGCCACGCCCCGGAGCCAGGACCACGCCCACCCCGCAGGAGTCCGAAGCGGCCATGGGGACTCCCAGTAGCCCGGAGGAGAGGTCCGGCTCCCCGCCGGTCCCCGAGTGCGACGCAGAGGTTCAGCCCCAAGGAGCCTCCCAGCCCCATGATCACCCCGATGAGCCCCGCGAACAGGAGGCGCCCGGGGTCCCGGCGGAGCTTCCTAGCGGCCAAGGAGTTGAGCAGCAGACTGAGGAAGAGGAAGAAGTGGGAGAAGGCAGCAGCACCGAGAGCAGCCGGGAGGAGGTGAGGGCCCTTAGGGCGGCAGCCACTGGGAGATCCCAACAGACAGCGACTCAGACAGGTGACCGGACACAGACCGGTGGAGAGAAACCAAAGGGACAGAGACCTGGAGACAGGGAAAAACACAGAGATGGGGAAAGACGACAGAGAAACAGAGACAGCCCCAGACAGATCCCCGAGCAGACCCAGTAGAGACTGACCCAAACGGGTGACCAGACACAGATACAGGCACTGGGAGAGAGACCCAGAGATAGGGAGAGACAAACCTGGACTTGGATCTAGAGAGCCCCAGACCTACTGAGAGACAGAAACCAGAGAGAGACACAGAGACCCTTGAGACAAAGACTTCAAGAAGAGACTGAGAGATGAAGGAGGGAGGCAAGGACAGAGGAAGAGAGAAAGAGTCCCAGAGATTCAGAGTGATGGTTAGAGACCCAGAGGGCAACCCGGAAACAAGGTGAAATTACTCAGAAAAAGAGAAATACGGGCACAGAAACCTGGAGAGAGGGAGAAACTCCAAGGGAGAAAGAGACCTCGTGATTCAGAGACAGAAGACAACTGAGAGACAGGGGGAGAGACTTAGACGTGGGGAGAAAAATGGGGCATGGGGCGCAAAGAGAATGGGACCAAGATTTAAAAATCAACCAAACAACAACAACAACAACAAAAATCATCTTCCATGAATCGGCTTTGTACCCCCTTCCTGAACTGTGAGCCCCTACGACACAGAGGTCCTCAGGTCTGCCCCTTCCCCCACCCGCCTTACAGATCAAATGGGCATGGTGGTGGAGTTAGGCTGACCGCCACCCCCAGAGAGGGATGAGGGCTTGGGACCAGACCTATAGTGACTCTAGGAGGCTAGACCTTTTCCATTTGACCCACCCTCTCCAACTTCAGCCCGAGGGCGCACCCCGGGCACAGACTCCGGCCTCGCCCTCCACCTGCACCCCTTATGGGGAAGGGGTGAGAGCAGCCCGGAGGAGGCTCCAAGCCCAGAAGCTGGAGGCAGTGACTCGCGTTGCCCTGTTGGAGCAGAGACTGAAGGAGCTTCAGCGTCAAAAGAAGGAGCTGAGGATCCAGGTGAGGCTTGGACCCCCTTGGGAAGACTGGCCTCAACTCATCTGCAAGGCCAGCTCCCAGCCCTCCTCGCCCAGGGGCCGGATTCTAGGCCCCCAGCTTCATCCTTCCTCCAAACCGGGTGCCCAGAATCCCGCCCTCAGAATCCAGGAGTTCAGGCTCCTGGGCCCCTCATAGGCATCAGAACCCTCAGCCCTGGACTTATGGACCTTGCAGATGGAGGTGGAGGTGGCCCTGATACGGGGTGAACTGGCTGGAGAGAGAGTGGCCCTGCGGCGGGAGGAGGAGCAGCTCCGAGAGCTGCTAGGGCAGCTGGTGGTCCAGGAGCCTGGCAGCCAGGAGCGGGAACAGGTTTGTTCACCTACTGTTTCTTTTCCAGTGGTTTCCTTCCTTGAGTGTGTGCATGGAAGGAGGTATTGGTGGGTATTGGTGGTGTTTTTTCTGGTGACTTGTGTCCGTGTCGTGTCCCCCCCCCCCCATGGTCCCTGTTTCACTTGGGATCCAGAGATGCTGAGAACAGATTTTCCCTCCTCCCTCCCTGACTGTGATTCGAGACCTGACTCATTGGGCCTTCTTCCTTGACTCCCTCTGCTTTTGCTTTTTAAATATCATATTAGGGAAAATCTCAAATCCACAAAAATCAAATAGGCAGACAGCCTCCATGCCCTGTGCTCCCTGACTTCCACAATCATAAATCTTCCTTTCTTCTTTCATGTCCTGCAATTTGCTTCCTGTTCCCTAGTTTTAAAAGCGCATCCCCAACATCATAAACTAGTACATACTTTAGCATGTACCATTTGCAAATAAGATCTCCTTTTCAAAAACATCACTGTGACATCTTATTATCTCGCCTGAGGAATTTTTATTTTTTTTAAAGAGAAAGTGAGAGAGAATTTTTTTTTAATGTTTTATTTTTTAGTTTTCGGCCGACACAACATCTTTCTTTGTATGTGGTGCTAAGGATCGAACCCGGGCCGCACGTATGCCAGGCGAGCGCGCTACCGCTTGAGCCACATCCCCAGCCCCAATTTTTATTTTATTTTTTATGGTGCTAGGGATGGAACTCTGGGTCCACTCATGCTAGGCAATTGCTCTGCCACTGAGCTACTCCTCAGCCCTTACCTTAATAATCAATAAGTTTTATTATTGTCTTATTTCTAGTCCATTTTCATTTTTCCCTGGATTGTCTCAAAAACACCAGTTAACGGGGCTTGTTTGAATCAGACTGAGTGCCGAGCTTGGTTGTGATGTCTCATGTGACTTCAGCACCACTGGTTCTCACCAACGGTGTCTGCTGCTTGCTGTCTGTTGAAGAAAGTATCCTATTCCATAGGCAGGATGTGGCTGATTGCATGCCTGTGGTGACCCTCAGTGGCCCTCTGTTGCCGTGAGCAAGTGGTTGCTTAGCTATAGAGGCTCAATCAGATTTAGATGTGCTTTGTGCTTTCTGAGCGAGAATTAGGGACATCATTTCTGGGTGTCCGACCTCTATGAAGTCACCCTGATCTCTTTTAATAATCTTTTATCTAAGGATTCTTACCATTCATCAGTGATCATTGCTTGGATTCGGTATAATTATAGCCTGGAAAATGTGACTTTGTAATTTTATCAGTCTTTCTCTTGTCAAGTAGCTTGTGTGTTGGCATTTGTGGGGGCTGGGTCTAGGGCCCTCATTTAGAATCAAACACCTCATATTTCTCCAACCCTGATTTCTCGTCTGAGGTCTGTGTGCCTGCCTTCTTAGGATAAGGGTTTTTAGGTATTCTTTTCCTCTTCAACCCAAGAGGCCAGGCTCCAGCCTTCTTCCCTCAGACTGAAGCAGTCTACACCTCCAGCCCTTCTCCCTCAGGCCCAGGGTCCAGGCCCAGCCTCCTCCCTCAGACCCAGGATACAGCCCCAGCCTCCTCCCTCAGACCTAGGAATCCAGGCCCAGGCCTCCTACATCAGGACCAGGGGTCCAGGCCCAGCCTCTTCCCTCAGACTCAGGGATCCGTACTCAGCCCTCCTCCTTCAGACCCAGGGTTCAGGCCCAACTTCCTCCCTCAGATCCAGGATACAGGCCCAGCCCTCCTCCCTCAGACCCCGGGGGCCCATGCCCAGCCCTCCTCTCTGAGACCCAGGGGTCCAGGCCTCAGCCCTCCTCTGAGAAGCCAGGAGTCTGCTTCTTTTTATTCATCATTTTCAAAGCTGTCCTTGGCAACTCTTCTCCACATCGATTGTCCCTCTGCCCCTTGGTCACCAGGTCCTACATGCCTCCCTTTCTGTGACCCCCAAGCTCACCAGTCACCGCGTTCTGCTTCCCAGTGTGTCTCTGGTCCATCTCTTTCCCATCCCCCCTGCCCAGGCCCAGCTCAGGTCTCCTGCTCACTCACTGCTTTGAGGACTCCTGCAGGAGCTGGTCTCTGCCCTGTATTCCTTCTCCCCAGGGGATTCCAACGCGGCCCTGCTCCATCCCTTCACTCCTCCCAAGGCTGCTGCTGTGTCCCACAGGCCCCTCCTCCCTTCCCACTTCTCCCTGGCTGAGGTTTGCCCCGCAATGTTCATACACTTTTAATTCCTGTGCACTAGTGCCATGCTGCCCCTCTGTCCCAGATGCCTCTCCAGCCCCCTGTGTCTCCCCAGGTCTAAATGCTCCCTGATCTGAGGCTTTAAATTCCCCATCCTAGGGGCTGGGCTATGGCTCAGTTGGTAGAGTGCCTGGCTCACATGCACAAGGCCCAGCACCCCCCCAAAAAAAAATCCCCATATCTGGGAAGCTTTGGCTACCCCAGGCTCGCGCATCTCTGTTTTCACTGCTCTGTCCTCAGTTGTAAATGGCTGTGTGTCCCCCTGGAGGGCAGGGCCTGGGCTAGGGACCCAGCATTACCCAGTGTGGCGATGTTTCCCTTCACTCCTTCACTTGTTTCTTTCTTTCTTTTCTCCTTCCCTCCTTCCTATCCTCTTTCACTCTCTTTTTTGCCACACTGAGAATGGAACTCAGTTCCTTGTGACTACTAGGAAAGCATCTACCATGGAGCTACAGCCCAGCCCTTTTTCTTTCTTTCTTTATTTTTTTCTGTTTTTGAATTAGGATTTCACTAAGTTGCTGAGGCTGATCTCGAACTAGTGATCCTCCTGCCTCAGCCTCCTGAGTAAAAGGTTATAGGCATGTGCCACTGCACCTGGCTTCTTCATTTATTTCCCAAACAACTGTTGACTTG